TGGGAGGGTTTGGGTCATGTCAATCACATGCAGAGCGTGATCTACATACCTGGTTGCGGACCTTCGGTCTTTTCTTGGAGCCATATGTGGTCTACATTGATCTTAAGGCTTGTGAGTTTCAGCCCAAAGTCAAAACGTGTTGTTTTGGGATTGTTTGGGAAATGGATCCATAGTTCACCGCAGCCCAACGCATATAGGTGAATGGCTTCAAGGAGCAGACGGTGCCGATGTCCATGCTGCTTCCTCACGAGGTCATACACGCTCTTGCGACGTCCAACGCCTCACAAGTCTTCCGATCCATCATGTTTGGGGACTTGACTTCCCAAGAGGTTGCAAACTTCTGGACACATGTCAAAGAGCTGGAACCATGGAAGGAACATGAAATCCTTCATGACCAACACCAAGACCTGTCAAACCTCATAGGGGTGGCGCTGCACGCCGACGGAGCAGAGATGTTTCGTGATGACGAGTGCTTCGTGTACTCGTGGTCAAGTTGCTTCGCATCAGCTGGAATTGAGACGGATGTCATGCTGTACCGCTTTCCAATTCTGTTCATAGCTGAACGTCATATGCAGGATCCCAAAGCGACTTGCTTTAAGGGTTGTGGAGGTTTCTTCTTTTGCTTATAAATAGGGTGTGTGGTTTTCATCGGCTTCAACTTTGCTGGCCTCGCCTTCTCGGCTGCAGGTGAAGCGGGGAGTGAACAAGGTCGTGGCCGAGATCGTTGGGTGGAGCCTGAAGCACGCGGCTAGGGGTGTGGCGCCGAAGAAAGGCTTCTACCGTGAGGCCTTTCCACCAAACACATGGAGGTTTGGCATGGCTGGCAAAGAAATGGCAGGTGGTGCTAGGATGCTACGCTTCTATTCGCGAATACCTTTTTCTATGACATATGAATATCAACAACGCGCAAATGTTTGGTTTCACCTTGAACCGCACAAATCATCTAAGGGCCACATACTTTTGCTGGAAAAGCGATCTCAAAGCCAGGCATGAAGCCCATGGCTTTCAACGATGGTACCAATGCACCAAGTCACTAGGCTGTTTCTTTTCATCCAAAATCCGGCAATATGACTTTTGGTAGGGGATTTGTTTGAACAAACAACAGCATACAACAGCGTTCAATGCTTGCACACACCGCCATTCGCTATAGCAAAGGATGTGTGACCTTTGCTTTGCCGAGCAGCCTACGAAGAGGGCCGACCCCAACATGAACTACAAAAACATGGAGCCAAACCCACCATACCAGCACGCGGTGATGGACCACCGCACTTACATGCGCACCCAAGTGGTGTCTGAGTGGTCTTGCCTGAGTGGGTGGTCCCTGCATTCGTGCGTCCACGATATAATGCATTGCTTGTTTTTGGGCACAGCCAGGGACCTCATCGCCTCCTGTTTGCGGGTGTTGGTGGAAAAGGGGGCCTTCGATTCACACAGAGTTCCACACCAATCTGAAGAGTTGTTTGCTTGCATCACAAATGAGATCCACACGACCTTCAAAGAACACAAGCCCCCTGTACTAATAGAGGTTTTGGTTTTGTGTGCTTTTGGATTTGCAACACATTTGGGTTTTAGGTGAGATGTGGTTTGGGTATTGCAAGGCTCTACTATGGAGGGCCCCCTATCGTCATGAAGTATTGCTACCCTGTGGACAAGAAGGATTTCACAGAATTGGGGACCCGCTTCAAGGCTAGCCATGCGAAGGCACTCCTGTGGTGGCTAGCCATGCGAACGTCGAAAGCTGCTGAAGAATCTCTAGGTGAAGCTCGGTTCAGTTCAGAAAGAATTGAGGCTCTTTTCTTATAACTTATATCCCTTCAAAACTTTTGAACTAAGGTCTAAAGTTCTGGTTGAAAGCTTTCCCAAACAAGGACAATGTTCTGAAGACGGTTGCTTACTGCTGTTGGACACTGAACCGAGCCCTTGAGATCTTCGATTGCGGAGGCTTATTGCTGACACGGCGCCATGCCAATGAAGCCAGCACAATGATGTTGCAGCACCTCAGAGCTTTTCAGTTCCTAGCTTCAGAGCATGGTATTGCTGGCGCATACTTGTTCAAAATGAGGCCGAAAAGCCACTATTTATGGCACACAGCCATTCAAACAAGAACGTGGAAAATAAATCCATACATGTTCCATTGTTTTTCGGAAGAATCATGGCTGGGCAGGTGCAAACGCATAGCCGTTCAGTGCCATGGTGCTACAATGCAACGTCGTATTCTCCAAAGGTATCTTATTTGTTTGGGTCTTTACTTAGAGCAGCACCGCAGACAAATCCGTGAGCTGGAAAAGACAGCTTAGCGTGGCCCAGGTCGAGCTATGTTAGCGTGATACCCCCAGACCACCAATAAACTCTAGAGTTGGGACCAAATAGATGAGTCGAACGACCTGCCCACGTTTGGGGTCTAAATTGGGGCAAGCTGCAGCACAGCAGCTCGCTGTGCGCGTGCAGGAAACACCGGCGCGCCATCAGGCGAAAAGCGAAGCAATGGATCTGCAACGTGTTTGAGTGGAGTTTCGTTTTTGTGTTGGTCTTTGCATGGTCTTGACAAAATAATGAAACGAAAGGCATGAGGCTGCACAGGTGAAAACAATGTCGCGAGGTGACAGGTTCTTTTGTGCGTTTGATGGTTGTGTTGGTTGGCTCAAGTTGCTTTCGAACCTGGCTCTTCAACCCAAGAAGGGCGCCATGCACATGGCACACCTGTGTGTGAATGTTGCGATATGACGCGGAGAAGCTGCGTGGAGAGCGCAGGAGCTTCAGTGAACTTAAGTGCTGGTAGCGGAGTTCCAAACTGCCACCTTTTATTGCCCAACTGTAGCGGCCATGGAAACAAACAACGGTGGAATCAAAGCATCAATGTACACGACTCAAACTCTAAAGCGGTCGCCGCACCAGTTTCGTTTGCATGCTGCCCTACAACTTTCATAAAATTTGGAACTTTTCGTTATGGGCCAAATGTGTATACACAAAAAATCATGCTGTGTATATACCGTGGGCAGGGCCCACGCAAACAACACTTTCGCTCATGCCTCATGAGACATGTTCGGCGGTGTCGCTTGAGTCCAGGAAGCCAAAGCATTACCAAAAGTGAACATAACCAAAAGTGATGTAATTATTCTTAGAGTAGCAATCTCTCATCATTTTACAGTTCTTTATGTATGTGGTGCGACAAACACTTTCGCTCATGCCTCATGAGGCATGCTTGGCGGTGTCGCTTGAGTCCAAGAAACCAAAAGTCACCAAAAGTTATATAATTACAACCATTATGTTGTAATCTATTTTGCACCTTTTTGTTTTTTGTTTCTTTTTTGTTTCGGTGTGGCGCAAACGACATTTTCGCCGATGCTTCACGAGGCATATTCGGCGGTGTCGCCACTCACCACATGGTAATGCACCCCATGCATGCCACACAAACGACAGCGTCAGGTCCAAACGACAGGTTTTTTGACGAAAGGTTGTCGTCTGTAGAAGACAGTGTGCGAGGGGCAGGTTTGGGTCGTCTAGGACTGCGGAGAAAGCCGGGCCCCCAGCGGCGACCACGCGCGCCGGAGGCCCTTCTGCAGTCTCTGAAGAGAGCCGGGCCCCCAGCGGCGACCACGCGCGCCGCAGGCACTTCTGCAGTCTCTGGACACGACACTGCGGAGAGAGCCGGGCCCCCAGCGGCGACCGCGCGCGCCGCAGCCCCTTCTGCAGTCTCTGAACACTGCGCCGGACACTGCGGAGAGAGCCGGCCCCCAGCGGCGACCACGCGCGCCGCAGCCCCTTCTGCAGTCTCTGAACACTGCGCCAGAGAGCCGGGCCCCCAGCGGCGACCACGCGCGCCGCAGGCCCTTCCCTGCAGTCTCTGGACCCTGCGCCGGCCACTGCGGAGAGAGCCGGACCCCCAGCGGCGACCACGCGCGCCGGAGGCCCTTCTGCAGTCTCTCGACACTGCGGAGAGAGCCGGGCCCCCAGCGGCGACCACGCGCGCCGGAGGCCCTTCTGCAGTCTCTGAACACTGCGCCGGACACTGCGGAGAGAGCCGGGCCCAGCGGCGACCACGCGCGCCGCAGGCCCTTCTGCAGTCTCTGGACCCTGCG